CATTTATTTGGTAACAAAGAACGGTTCTAGAGCGAGTGTGTCGAGTACATGACGCAACACATAGATGAGCTGTTTGCGGATGACGTCACGTATAGATAAGATGGCGGCGGATGACGTCACGTATAGATAAGATGTAAAGGTATACATTAATGAGTAAATAAAATTTTATTTTGGTACAAATATACTTGTACAGTTAAACGTTATTCAACGTTAACTAGGCAACTGCGGTTCCACTGTCAATTTCTTTTTATTTTTATGACAACTGAAACCCGATATTTTCTATTTTATTAATGTTACCTCTCCAAATTCCCCATGTCCCAGTTTCTCCAAAACACGTAGGTGTTCCCTAGGGAAATGGCACAATGGCATATCTTCATCTTCGTCCTCCTCATCGGTCGCTGTCGTCAGCGCTTCAGGACTGACAGCTTCGCCGAATGTAGAGGATCCGATTGTCCCTTTGACACTGGTCAACTGCGGGACCATCAAGGGGGGAGGGGATAACGGTGGCGACGGTGGCTGTGGAGCGGCCTGCTACAACCAGAATGACAATCAGAACTTCCGCTCACTTAAACTGTCCCAAGATAAACCAAATCAATTCTGGGTGTGTGAGACTCAGATTTTAATAATATTTAGGCAATTTGAACATATTAATAAAGAAGCAACATCTCAGGGTCACAGATAAAATAAGGCGACTATTCCTACTAAAACACATTTTTACAGTCCAAAAACGTAATAAACAATCCACAAGAAGAAAAAGAATTACAAACGTGGAAAAATGTTACAATGCCCACGGAAATTTTTATGGCAGAACTTATAAATATGCTAAAAAAAATTTGTTTTTGTATTCTCTTCTTTGTGTTTAATAATTTTGCGCAAGTTCTACAATAAGGTTATTTATGCATTAAATAGGTTAATAGTATATTATCAACTACATTCAGTTTCCACAGCAGAAGATTAATTCAATTACGTAATTTCTTGCAACTAATTTCTGGACTTTTTTCGTCCATGACCGTAATTTCTCTTTTAGTTTCATTTCAAATTAATTAAATGATAATATATGTGGTAAAACTGACAAGATCTCTTAACTATCATTAGATTTCTGTAAATGTTCAAATGTTTCTCGTCACTACAACCCTCCTTTTCGGGAAGTGTCTTGGTCGTGCGTGAAGTAGTGAGTCACCAGCAAACTGACTCTGCATAATTTCTACTCAATCCTGATTCAAATGTAGCCCAGGCTATGATGTACAACTTTATTTCCTCGTATCATACTTTTGGCCTTGAAGGATGCAGTTCAATGACGTCTATTGTAGTTTTTGATTACACACGAACGCAATTCGAGCTTCCTTGAACATTTAAGGTATCTTACCTTACAGATTTCTGTGGCTGCATAATATTTCTCAGGTGGCGGTGGAACAGCTGGTGGTTTGGGGAAGAAATTGTGTAAAGGGGGCAGTGTTCTAGCTGGCGTCGCGGGGGGAGCGATGGGGAACGGGGGAGGTGGTGTTCCGTCGTTGCTGATGTGAGGCACCGCGTATTCCTGAGATACAATATCGGGAACGTCTGAAAAGAAAATGGTATGCGTAGTTGTAAAACCTAGGAAAAGTGTGGGATTAACATCGCTGGAGTGACAAAACTTCCGTTCTGTCTTGCACGATGTATTCCTTGCTAGTCCTGAGACGTAGTCCTGCTTCTAATCTCCCCCATTCTAATTCTCATCTTCGCCTTCGTGTTACAGTACGACTATTTTTAACACATTCAGACTAACGTGACCAGACTGTCTCCGAACCGTCTCAGGGAAATGTATTGTTTCTAACAGTTTTTACAAATAAAACTTAAATAGACGTACAGCACATAGCGCAAACTGAAACACGTTTATGCGATCAATATTTGCATTTAGGAAATCGTGATTAGAGCTTCTGTTTCACATTCAGAAAGTTTCGGATTTAAACCTCGCCCACAGATATCAGCTATCCTGACCGAGGTTTCTCGTAGTAAAATTTGAGGTTCTCACGTCAGTGAGTTCGAAAATGGCTGTCTTCCGGGTTTTAGCGTCGTCTAATCTGGTAGAAGTTTACCAACGTTTCAGAGGTCGTTTGTAAACTTCTACCAGACAGCATTGCGCTACAACTCAGAAGACAGCCATTTTCGTGGTTTTTCTCAGTTTCTGAAGTCTGATAATACATCAGATAATTCTTGTAACATGGCGATTTCGTCAGAATATCCAGTGGTTGAAAATAAAAGTTGACCAGCCACAATAACGACGCAAAATCTGGAGAGTTTAAAATGAAATTTATTTTGCGGGAACTTACACAATTGAAATGAAAGGTCAGTGGGAATAAAATAATTCTAATTCAGGGAAGACACACAACCCATAAAGGTACGTACATGGTTTTAGATTGCAAGCAGATGGCTAAACGTCACACACTGGAGTACGTATTAGAGCCAACTTCTTAATTTGGCATTGGAGTTGCTGTTTGAAGGACCGAGGAGAAATCCAAAATCGGGAACAGAACGGACAGAGAGACTTTGTCGTCATTTATGACTGAGACGGATCGGATAGCTTGCTTGCTACAGCACAAAGCAAAAGTTTTTACCTAAAAATCCTCCAAGACAAAAAAATTTAATCGATAATTTTTTACTCGTGCGTTCGAAGAATTTAACTAATCAGCCGGAAGAGACGGTAAGTCTCAGAACTGCGATCTGAAAGAGCGTGAAGCTAGATTACAGAGGGCACAAGAGATCAACGTAACAATTTTAAAGGAAATTTGAAACATTATGAAGGAATGATAACCTATAGTTTGGGGAGAGCTATTTCTTCTGTTGTGCCTTTATTCCTTTAGTCACGTAGCAGACATTTTCACATTTTCGAAAGGAAGATGACGGGGGTGGTGTTGAAAGTAAACAGTCTCTCGCTGCAAGGCTTATCTTTTGCTGCAAACCCAACCCTCGTTCACTTCCGTTGTAGCTCGGTTCCGTTGCACCAACATTAGGGCGCATAAGAAAACTTTCAGGAGAACGTATCACTAAACAGCGATGCCGGACGAAGTCTGCTGTACAGGTTTCGTTAAAATGATAAAGACACTTACTTGATGTGCTGTGAGGTCCATCGAAAACTTCAAAGCTGAATTATTCGAGCAAAATGAGGATTTTCTAACTCAAAGAATAACATATCTAAATATGGTAGAATATTTTTGTGTACTTTCCAGTCTTAAATGAATCTTACAGAACTAAAAATTAAGTCGTAATGCTATGAACAAAACACAATTTTCTTTTCCAAACTGTCCCCCAGTGTTAGTTACTGAGCTAATTTTGTTTAATTTGTTTACGTTCCTACCGAGAACAATAAGCCTATCAACATAAATGTCGAATTATTAATGTTATCAGAAGCTATTAGTAATTCAATTCTGGTTTTTACACGACTTACGATGTGTACTTTGAGAGATATTTAAATGCAATTTATACCTTTAAAGCCCTCCTGCTTCAATAATTAACGTCTTCATTTTGTATTTATGTACTTCGTATGACTGTCGTAACAAACAACGATTATATCCTTAAATAACATTAACAATTTGATCTTTGCAGTAAGAACATAATTATTATATTAGTACACATTCTTTAACTGTAAATTATTATTCCTCTTTCTACTAAAATCTGACAATTGCAAAGTTACTCAAAAAATTCCCCGCCTTTTACGAACATTCATGCTGTATTAAAACATATTTTAAGAAAACGAAAATCCGATGTTATTTTTTGCATTAAACACTACACCACTCGTGAACTTCAAAGTTTCAAACTACTAAGCCATGTCTTGACCTTTAAAAAATCACAAAGTCAGTACGAGGTGCGATCGGAAAGTTTCAAGACTGTGTCAATAGAGGGCGAACCGGATGTAGTACGAGCTTCTGACACTAGAGGGTGCGGCCTACTTTCATAGTGAATCAGTGCGCCAGCCGGCATCATCGAATTAGCATTTGTTTCTTAGTTACGGGCGTTTTGGTAGTGCATTACACCGACCCTCCTGCGATTTCGGAATGGCGTGTGCATCAAATTTTGCCAAAGACTCGCCAAAACGGCTACAGAAACCTATGAAATGCTAAAGCAAGCATTTGGGGAGTCCGCAAACTTTGGTGTGGCATTCACGTTTTAAAAATGGCCGAACCGCTGTCGATGATGACAAGCGTTCTGGACGACCATCTTCGAGCACAACGCCCGAAAATGTTACGAAGATCGACGTCGTACCATCAACGACTTGTGCGACATTGTTGGGACCTGTCAGCTGATTCTAAAGGAAGAACTCCACATGCGACGCATCAAGACAACGCGCCAGCGCACACCGCCCTCAAAGTTCGGCAGTTTTTGGCCTCAAACACCATGGCCGTCATCCCGCACCCTCCTTATTCACCGGATTTAGCTCCGTGTGACTTCTTCCTCTTCCCAAAGATGAAAATTCAGCTAAAGGGAAGGAGATTTGAGACGATAGAAGAGATTCAGGCAGAATCGCAGATGGTGCTTGACAGGCTGACAAAGAAAGATTTCCAGGGATGCTTCCAGGCTTGGCAGCGGCGCTGGGGTCGTTGTGTTCACTCCCAGGGGAACTACTTCGAGGATGAATTTAATACCTGAGATAAGTGTACGGGTTTTTATACGCGCAGTCTGGAAACCTTCCGATCGCACCTCGTATTATCCCATTACGAAATCAACGCATATTTTTTAACCTAAACGTTAGAATGAAAATTATCATCAGAGAATGAAGGTTTAAGTTTCCGAGCGCCAAGTTTCTCCAGAAGTAGAACCACTGGAATACTTCCAGATTTCAAAACATCAGGAGCTGCAACACACAAACTTGGAATATACCCAAGAATCACAGACGCTAACTAAATTTCTGATTGCCTTATTTCCTTACTGCCTCGCTATTGGTGTGTAGACCATACTTCGTTAATATTCTGTTCCGCGTTATAAAAGGGCAAAACATTTTCTCAACATAATAAACAAAGATAAACGCTAATGAAAACTGTATCTGGAGTAAAGGAAACTATATTAAAATCAGGTATGCACAAGGGAAGTCATTAAAAAGCGATGGCGTGAGACATAGTGCATTAAATTTCACAGAGAAAACCATTCATGTAAATGAACTGTTGCAAAGTTTTCACTGTAAGACTGCGTCTATATTTTTTTTTTATTTTGAGTCGCTTTTAATTTCGAACGTAAATTATACTGAGCTATCTAGATAAACGAGTTGTCTAGTTAATTCATCTAAAATACATCATTAAAGGAAGCGTAATTCAAAAATATATACAATTCTCGATGACTGTACGAGAAGTCCGTTTTTCCAAAATATTAACAACTTCTATAATTTCCTACTTTATTCTTAGGGTTCAATTCGAATTTATCTATTTATAGTTTATTTAACGACGCTGTCAGCAGCTCTTTTTATATATAGAATCGAAGGATGATCAATGAATTGGAAAGGTTGTGGAAGGAAGTGGCCGTGGCCTACTTTAAAGTCCCACCATTTGCTTGGACGGACTGATCTACAGGCATCCAAGGTTCCAAAACCCATGTATATTTTGCTTAACTATACAATGAAAATACGTCTAGAACATTTTAATACATTTGGTTATTACAGGGATTTAATTCAATAACTGCGTTGTAAGGCCAAATAATCTGACCCCGAGATACATTTAAAATAGTCTGCGTTCACAGAGTTATAGACCCCTGAAAATTACAACCCTATAACCTATTACACACAGCTCTGTTTTACAGTCACATAAACAAGTGCATTAAAATATTTGTTTTTGTTTTTTCTAAACATGCGCGACACTTTGGTGTAGTTATTTAATTTTTATTGTACAGTTTTAATTAACGCTATAAATTTCATGTAGTTCACTGACTCACCGGTGTAGTCAGGGCTGTTCGGATGGCGCTGGGACAATTCCTTGGTCTGCTGGGTCTTGCCGCCCTGGGCGCTGTACATGTTGAGGTTGTAGGGCTCGTGGTAGACGGCGCTCTTGTCCACCTCTGACGGGTCCTCCACGGACACCTGACCATACACCTGTCCATTAGCATTCACGTTTACTCGCATCTGCAGTTCCTACACGTGGGGGCAGAGCACCAGGAGGCATGCACCAGGTGGATGGAACGGGAACGAACGAAACAAAACAATGCAAATTAAAATGAAAACAAGTAATTGGGAAAACGTGCTGATAACTGACTCAATTTCGAAGGAAAAAGCGGTGAAATGTCCCGTAACATCAAAACCTAGAATGTTTGGTGTTTGACAATAAATACTTCATTTTTAATAATGTAACTTCTTTATTCACAACAGTATCGATTTAAAACAATCGATCTGAAAAATAATAAATAACAAACAATTTCGCAGAAAGAACTCTGTCCCTGTTTCCTCTTTCAAAAGAATTTATCGATAGTACGAATTAACATGCGACAATAGTTGAGTTCTGATTTAGCATTAAATCATTCGTAAAAACAAAATTAACAGTACTGCGAATCGTGGGATCTTTGTGTAATTTCAGCGTAAATAGCCACGGAATTTAACAAATTCAAATAATAATAATAACAACATAAAATAAAGCAACATCTTGGTATCATTAAAAAAAATTAGTCTCGACAAACTTTCGCCATCTCCTAGAAGTATATCTCATTCTACATTATCGTCCTGCATTTTAATGAATTCCATTTAAACGGTTTTCAAATTTTCAGATTCCAATACAATAGAATATTTCCGGTAGGACTTAAAGCCACTTTTGCACAGTTCCTCTCAATGAACAACGTTTATTTCGTAAGCAGTTGCATCAATACCAATTCCTCGGGCGCGTCAGCTCTCGACTTTTCACAACTTTAGAACTCCCAGCTTGGGGGGTAGAGCCAACCTCCGAAACGTCGTGTAAATCAAAGATACCTCAGAGAATGGAGGATTTTCAACACAACTTTGTCATAATCAATAAATCACGACACAAACATTTAGAGAATCATAAAATTAATTAATTTTATTACATATGTAATGTCACATATTTAGATGTAAATCTTAATAGCTTTTATATATACTACGTAAGACCTTCATGAGCCGGGATAGCTCAGTCAGTATAGTGACTAGCTACGGGCTGGACGACCGGGATTCGATCCCCGACGGGGGGGCAGAGGATTTTTCCTCTAGCCTCTGCGTCCAGACCGGCTCTGGGGCCCACCCAGTCTCCTCTACAATGGGTACCGTGGTGCTTTCCCGGGGGTAAAGCCGGCCGGGGCGTGATGCTGACCACTGACCCCCATCTAGTGCCGAGGTCAAGGAAGAGAGGAGCTATACCTCCACTCACCCCAAGCGTCTACACGGCGTATAGTGGGACAAACTTTACTTTTACGTAAGATCTTCAGAATGGGGAATCCTGTCACGTTTTCTTACCTATTTAAATGCATATATATGAAATGTATCAGATGGTTTACGCAAGTGCGTGAATGACAAATTCATTGGTAATAATAATCGCTTTGTAATTATCGAATGTTTACCTGACCGGAAAGAAAACTTTGTTCTTCATCCGCAGTTAGTTCTGTGAGATAAATACCATCAAAAACAAGTTAACTTTACTTGGGACAAACACTTTATACTATTAACTGTGTCGATTACACTTTCATTAGAAGCGTAACTATTTCACAAAAGTGAATTAAACTTTATCTCCTTTTGAAATCAACGTAGTCCTGTCTTGCATTTACGACGTCGTGAAAGAAGACACGACGTCCTGTTGGTGCGTAATAAAAGATTCAACCTTCCATAACAGACCTTCGGCTTTTTGTAGGAGATCTTAAATTTGATTCTTTTAATGTTTCTTTTGATTCTTTAAGTCTTCAAAGGAATATGTTTAGTTTTAACAATCTATAAATGTTTTAACTTGTATATTTTAAGACAGAGTCAAAGGCAACTGTGTTAATTTCCGTTTTGGAAGAATATAGCGTACATATATTTTTACTCTGTATGAAGCGTCATTAAGATAAGAAAGTCACTTACAAGCACTAAAAAGATGGAGGGGATAAATATACCTATATATTCTTTTATTTTCTTTATGGACAGACCAGCTCCTGGCTTTGTGACAAGACTAAGCGAAATCTAGTTTTCCATGTAAAATAAAATGAAATGAAACATTTCATTTATTTGGAAGGAGAAGAAGAAAGATAAGGAAACGAATTATGTCCCCCAGCACAAACTAGAATCCTTTATCAGAACCTTCGGTACTGTTTCGACGCTTAAACACACGATAATATTACCAGACCGTTTATAGATTCATTATCAACAAGATTATTTCGCGCTGGATACGTAAAGTCTAGAGGTTATGAAATATACAAAATTATATTTATATACACACTTATACAATTAAAAGTTCCCTGTAATTTAACCCAGTATTTCAAAAGTAAAGGTCACTGTTATTGGCTCAAACGCGTATATTTAGTTCTGATAAATAGAAAATGATGCCAAATCCAGCATTTTTATTTTTTATTTGTAGTGTTCTGTCTGACGACAGGTCCATATGAACAGGATCCTTCCATCCTTTTCTAGGACTGGGACCTGTTCATATACGTTCTTGGCAGATGATCCAGAAATGGTTTGCCATTGCCTTCTTCTGTGTGTGAATGGAGTAATTGTTGGGATGCCACGGACTAAAACTCCGTGTTGCCTAGACCACGGCCTTACGGCAAAATCATATTCGTTTTAAATCGACATCTTCAACGCTTGTGAAGTGACGTAAACGTGGTTGAATATAAAATCTTAGAGTTTTATACGGTGACAGACATTTAAAAAACGTATTATATGATTTTTTTTTTGGTAGAATGCTGGAAGCAAGAAATTTAAGAAGGAAAGACGAGAGGTGGAAACAAAGTTAGGAATTAAGAAGGAAGTTCGTATCGAATAACCAGCGATGTACCTGCCGCCTACCTCCAGAAGATGACGAAGTGAATATTATGTTTTATACAGAGAACTCGGGGTTGCTGATAACTGACAGAAAACCTCTTACTATTTAATAGAGTTAAAGGGAAAATGAGGAGACAGCAGAACGGGGCTAATAATAACAGCATCGCCGTCACACTCTCGTCTTCCGTCCTATTCTACGAGAATGACTCGTCCGTCAAACGTTGCCCGAGACCGTTATCCGTCCGTTACCATGGTGATACCGTCGTTCAATTACCTTCCGGCACCTGAACACCCCAGGGGACGGGGGTGCATTCCGGTATGTGGTCAGATGCCATAAGGCTGGTCGAAATCAGGTTTCCGCAAATTTGGGGGAAAGTGTTACAGATCTGGGCGTCAAAATTATCAAACTTTAACGTATAATCTTCCTTCCCGGCTAGAAATGACATTTGGCACTACAGGAAATTTATCTTTAAAACTTGTCATAATTTTATTATTTATAATAATCTCCAAGCTGTTGTAATCTGGTAGAACTTAGCTGTTTACTCATCGCCATGATGATGGAGGCA